GAACACAGAGCAATACTGAGTTGAAAACCGTGCATCAGTTCACAAGGCATTCCCACCTTTAACTCTAGAGCTAGAACTTTTATTTCAACTGGATGTTCAATGCCTCACCTTTCCCAAGTATGCCTCTGCTATCTCCTTCATTTTTGTTAGCACCATGGAAGATATTTCTTCTGGGTAAAAGCATTTTGTCTCTGCTTTGTACTCCACCTGGACTTTTGGTCTGCCTGCATCATTCACAACAGTGAAAGGCCAGTGCTTCATATCAGATTGGACGACAGCATCATCAAATCTGCGACCAATCAGGCGCTTTGCATCTGTAAAGAGAATTTGAACACAATATAAATTATGCCTCAATGGTATAATTTGCATGCTAGTATCATCAGAACACTGTACAACTGGAGACCTCCAGAACCACACAAGACATTCAGGGAAGCTTATGTAAATCCATTAATTTCAAAAATACCTAAGGATACCATTTTGTTCATAGTACACAAGCATCATAGTAATTAGCATTATTACTACAGCACAATAATTACTCATGAATAAGCTTTAATTGAGCATCTGTATATTATGACTGAACTGGTTCACCCCAATTGAACTAAGTTGTGCAAAATCACAAATCCCAGAGCTGTAGCGTTTCATACATTACGCGGCTAAAAATGTTATCAAGTTCTCTTACCAAAAACTGTGTTAGTGGGGTTCATTGCCACTTGGTTCTTTGCGGCATCACCGATAAGCCTTTCGGTATCGGTGAAGGCAACGTAGCTTGGTGTGGTTCTGTTACCCTGGTCATTGGCAATGATTTCCACTTTGCCATGTTGGAAGACACCAACACAGGAATATGTGGTGCCAAGATCAATCCCAACAGATGGTCCCTTAGACATTGTAGCTGCAAACATAAAAGATATTTAAAATTAGTCAATTTAGTTATTGTTGTAAAACAAGCACACATCAGCAAATATTACATTTACTATAATAAGATAACAGTTTTTCAAACAGCTAAAAATATATGGCTAATTGTAATGACTGGCTGATAAAAACCAGTTGTGATACTAAATATTGTTTTAAGGTTGAAAGGTGGGATTATAAAAACAAAGCCCAGCAAGTTATTGCCCTTGGTGATTGCACTCTCTCCTTCATAAACCTAGTAGTTACAGACCACAGAATAATAGCTTTCAAAAAGGAAACTTGGTGTTTTGCCACAATATTTTTTAAAACTAATTTAGTAGAAAAAAAATCAGAATACTAGATGGTCGCTCAGACATCCAAGGAA